TGTGTGTGTGTGTGTGTGTGTGTGTGTGTGTGTGTGTTACCTGAAGGTCCTGTTTGTGGGAAGACTGGAGGTACCTGTATGAGGCACATATACTTTTTTTTTTTTTAAGGGGGGGGGGGGGCAATTTTGGAAGTTGATACCCTATATTCATAGCATAACCCACGTGCATTGTATACTAATACACCGGGTGCGTATACAACGCACCCCGTGCGTTCTATTCGTAAATAACGCACGTGCGTTTTGTTTGGGAGAAGACTGTAGATTCTCAAAATCACAAGAACGGATTAAAATAGAGAATCTTCATTGAATTCCAAAAGTATTAATTTTCAAGATTTATCTTATCATTTATTGTTAGGTAAAAATCTCCCTTCCTGTGTTCACATAATCTTTCCCACACCGGATGCATATTTCAATCAAGGTCTGTGTGACCTGGTAGGAGTGACGTTTCAGGCTGGGCAGTCTTTTTGGTTCAACAAAATAATAGGCTCGTTTGGACTGGTTGTTTAAACCACTAGTACCTTTGCCGCTTCAGAAATGAGCAAAAACGCCAGTTCCCGGAGAATTCGGAGGCCGGCCCCGACGATGGCTGCCATTGATAAATCTAATCGGCGGCCGTCGTCATTTCGTTTCGGCCTCCTGAAAGGTCGGCGGCCCGCTATTTTCCGAAACGACATAGGTACTAGTGGTTTAAGGCGGTACTGGTTAAATCACCAGTACCTCCATGCGGCGAGTCCGCCACTTTTTCCCGAGGTGGATTTTTTCCCTACACAACAAAAAGAAATGAACCTGCACGAGCGTTTTTTTCTATTCTTTTTTTTTTCTTTTTTTTTTCTTTTTTTCCCCCTGGGCCCTGGCGTTGCCAGCCATTGAGGTGTGGTAGCACTTTTTTTCCGAGGTGGATTTCCCCTTCCCCCCCTCCCTGGCCCCTGGCGTTAAGAACAAATCGGACCCAGAAACCTTTGCTTGTGAAGGCACTGGTGGTTTGACATCCTCTAGCATTAAGGGATTTGAACTGTAGAGCTGTTGATCGACAGTGTCAGCTGCGTGCAATGCGGTCACCGTTGATTGGTATGTCTCTCTCTCATTGGTTCTTTTCATCTTCCTTTTCTGCCCTTCTCTCCTCTTTCTCCCCTTTTTCTCTCCTCTTTCTCTCCTCTTTCTCCCCTCTTTCTCTCCTCTTTCTCCCCTCTCGCTCTCATTTTATGCGTTCTTTTTTCGATTCATCTGCACTTGTTCCTCTCCTTTTCTCCGTCCTCCTCTCCTCCGTTTTTCTGTCCTCCTCTCTCCCTTCCTCCATCCATCCTCCCCGTCTTTCCTCCTCTTTCTTTCCCTCCCTCCCTTTTTCTGCTTTCCCAAGTTTTCCTTGCTTCCCTTTTATTCCTTTGCCCTGTTCTTTTCCCCGTCCGCTCACTCTGTTCCTTCCCTCCCTTAGCCTGTCCTCTTCTTTTCTTTCCCCCCTCCTCCCTTCTCCCTCATCCCATCTCCTTTTAGTGGCTCAATTTCGCTGAATATCGACTGTCAATTAGCGGATGAAGTGTTCGAATCACAAGAATACTAGGGCTACCCTTCTAATAAAAAAATAGCCTACGTGTGCGCTGACATGACTGCTTGTCTCTTTTCGATGTGTGAATTGGATGTCAGTCGGAAGGGGGGTGGGTGGTAATGGCATGTGGAGTGGGGTTCGGGGAGGGGTTGGGGGGGGGGGGGGGGGGGGGGGGGGGGGGGGGGGGGGGGGGGGGGGGGCATGTGGGTTGTGGAAGACGTCGGGGTAGATGGGTGGGTTTCTACTGCCATGGTGTGTGTCTGGATGTGATGGGCTCATTGGTTCATTCAACTTCATTTGTTGATGGGTTGATGGGTTGATGGGTTGAGGGGGGTGGGGGGGTGAGGGGGTGAGGGGGTGAGGGGTTAATGGGGTGCGATCACGGGGCTGCCAGAATACGGACATTCATTCAGATTGGCTGGAGTGGACGGCCTGACGCTTTTGACAATGCAGAGGTCTCATCATGCATGCAAGAACATGACAGATGCAGATTGGCAGACATTCAAGGTAAGACAAGCCCACTTAAATAAAATAAAACTTATAAAAGTAAAATGAAATAAAATAAAAATTATGAAATGAAAGGAATATTTTATGAGGGGTTGTTATGAAATTATATCCTCAAAGGTAATCGTATCCATCAGGATCTGAGCTCCGCATCTGTTTATGCATGGGCATGATTATAGAATTTATATTATATTACTAAAATACGTGTATCATTCGGCGCGACGGTAGTAACGTACCCACTGCTTTGTCTGTGGAGAGGGTTTATGGTCCGTCGTCTGGGATTTTTTTTTTGTGTTTCTGTGCCTGATAAGCTTGTCAGTCTGAGGAAGAGAAAAGAAGGGGCTGTCTATCTGTCGTCCTTTGGGACATTCGCTAACGTACGAACAGTGCAGAGAGTATGAGCATGTGGGCCCAACACAACAGATGGCACAGACAGAAATTGAGCATGAAACTGCCCAAAGCATTAACAAAGCAAAGATGAGGTTGTATGTCTGTCGTCATGGAGGGGAGGGGAAGAGGAGGGGAAAGGGGAGGAGAACAGGAGGAGAAAGGCGAGGGGGAGGAGAAAGGGGAAAGGGGAAAGGGGAAAGGGGAAAGGGGAAAGGGGAGGAGAACAGGAGGGGAAAGGCGAGGGGGAGGGGAGGGGGAATTTGCCAGATTGACATGAAGGGCTACTCCACTTCACAGGGTCTATCCAATAGAGGCTAGATCCCTAAGGTTGTATGTCTGTTGAATGTCTGAGCAGTTTCTGCACTGCAGTATCCTCTACACTAAAGCCTAAGCCCTGCAAAGGTCTTTTTTTTTCAGGNGGGGGGGAGAGGGGGGGCGGGTAGGAGGATTCAGAGAAGATCCCACACTACCGTCTTCCCCTGAATAAAATGCATGGTCATTATCGATGTATCTAGTCTGAAAGTTGCCCCTAAGTACAGCTTTTATGACCATGCATTCTATTTGGGCAAAGACGCAATATGGGATCCTAAACCCTAAACCCTTCCCTAACTCTAAAGGGGCCGAACCCCCGACCAATGAACTCCAAACACTAACCTTTCCTAGGTATATGTCATCTCGGCTATGACGGCAGATTTTCTTTTTCTTTTTTTTTCTTTTTTTTCCTCCGGCGTGCTGCTTCTACTTGTAGTCTCTCTCGTGTACTTTTGTGTGCTTCGTGTACATTCTCTCGTGTAGTCTTTTTTTTTTTTTTTTTTTCCTGTGCTCTGACTGCTTTGTAGGTCCTGTGCGATGTGCTCTCAACCTTCACGGATTGTGAGCTCCCATCCATTGGGATTATAAAAAAAAAAAAAAAAAACTGTATAGATCAGGATAACATCGCCTTGTTCTTCGGGACATCCGGTAAACTTGGAACGATACAGAGAAAGAAGATTAGCGTGGCCCCTCTGCAAGGATGTAGAAAAGGAAGAAGTAAAAAAAGAAAAAAAAGAAAAAGGATAACATCGCCTTTACCAATTGGCCTAGCTCAGTTGGTACACCCAGGAACTGTTGAAATTTGAATCAGACCCAAGTTCGAGTCCAGATACAATCAGATGACCAGAATGGAATCATTCTAAATTACCTGGGGCCGGTCAGTTCAATGAGGATATCTCAAGGTCGTTGCCCTTTCTTAAAAAAATAATAATAATAAAAAAGCCATCGTCGTTTGGGTCCTCTGTGTGCACTTCGTCAACATATGATACAGCAGAGATCCACAGGACACTCTGAGACGAGTCATGAGGTGGTCGTCAGATCGGGACAGACAGACTGTTAATTTTTGCTAGGTCCATGGAACATCATGTGCACATGGACATGAAACGACATTCTTTCTCCTTCTTCTTCATTCTTTTTTCTCCTTCCTCCTTCTTCTTGTCCAGAGAGGGTGAGCTTTTACGAAACGAAAAAGGAAAATGTATATGAACAGTTTGTCACAGCCCCTTGTTTGTTCTCCTCTTCACCCTCTCTGCCTACGGTTTACCGGGCAGCTCTGTTTGACACAAACCAGTGTATTTTTTTTTTGTAAAACACTGAAAGAAATAAGAATACAATGAAACAAAGAATAAGAGGACACTGTTTTGTGTCATTCTGGTTTGTCTGTCTCTTTGCCTGTCTGTCCTTTCATTTTTTTTTTCTTCGCTCATCTTATTTCTTCTTCTACTTCACGTGCTTACACTCTTAGTCAATAGTTATGTGACAATAAACACTGAAAGAATTAAGAATACAGTGAAACAAAGAATAAGAGGACATTGTTTTGTGTCATTCTGGTTTGTCTGTCTCTTTGCCTTTCTGTCCTTTCATTTTTCTTTTCTTCGTTCATCTTATTTCTTCTTCTACTTCACGTGCTTACGCTCTTAGTCAATAGTTCTGTGACAATATATATGCCGGCGTTGTTAGCTCTCTGCGTTTGCAGATCGAACGGCGGGCGTTGGGCGTGTACAACCAGGCGATTCCTCAATTGAATCTTCAATTGATGTCTTTCATTGATGTATAGATTGCGTATTGTCAATCTGCGCTCTGCATTCTGCCCCCTGTTCTCTCATTGCTTCCTGAATCCTTTCAGGGGCTGTATTTCATTCGGCGGGCTCTCTAATAACCTGCTACTTTGTGATTATTTTCTTGATGCTTGGACAATACTAGCCCTGTTAGGTGTTTGATCTGGTACGCTGCTTGGTGCTACGGTTTTGTTATTGTATAAGGTATTGTGCACATAAGGACTGTGGTGGCGGTCACCGCAAGGACACAGGTTGTAACCCTTTTCCCGTGTAGTGGGTATAGTTTTGGCCTACCTAAGGTTAGCCAAACCCGGGTGGCAGCCCCCATGCCCATCTCACCTCTTCGTATCGCACTCTTTCGTGTAATCCTCACACATTAATAAAACCTACAGGTTGGCTTGCTTTTGCTGAACTGACACTGTTGGTCTATCGGTGCAAGGCTGTGAGCACTAGGATCACATTGGATCACACTGGGTCACGACATACTCACCGGGGGATGCAGAGTCATACATGACCCAATGTTCTGTTGGCTCACTGCTAATGGTGAATACCATACGAACACGACGGCGGCAGGATCAGTTCCCGAACTGGCCGCCGGGTCTAAAACCCTGCCTTTCTGTGCACCTCTTTGTCTCTTCTCTTACCAAAAATGAAAAATTTCAAAAAAATAAACGTTATGTTTAAACAAATGAATTCAACACAAAGGATTAATCAGGGGATTCTCGGAAAGTTTACTACTACTGGCATGGTAGGCGTAGTTCCAAGCAACATAGGTCAATACAGGCACTTGGCGCAAGAGGCAGTTGCAACAACTTAATACGGCAGTTCAAACAGAGTGTTTCGAATTGCAGCTGAGAGGCATTGATCAGCAGGCACTGCAACCAGGTATGAACCCTCTCTCTGTCCGGGGAGTGATCTATGCCATTGTTCATATTCCCTTCGGGCGTCTTTACATAGGTCAGACTATGCACTCCTCGCATCAACGTTTGCAAGAACATTGGCATGTTCGTCGTTCTGTTGCGGAGTTTCGACGTCGCCAGCTCTACAGTGTCATGTCTTGTCAAAACCCCTTCAATTTTGCAGTCTGGCCCTTGGAACGTATTGACCCGGCCCTTTACCATACACCGCAAGGTCTTGTTGACCGTAACCTTTTCCGACGGGCTGCTACAACACGGGAAGCCTATTGGGTGCGCCGGTTGCGGACTCTTCATCAAGCTGGTCTCAACGTTGTCTTGCCGCTTGCTCGCCTGCCTGCAAGAATACGACAATGTCGTCCTCATCGGTGGACACATACAGGCCCTCGTTCGT